ATTATATCAGATTCATCTTGAGGTAAACATGTATTAAAAATAAACAAACAAACTTCTAGCAAGGTATCTCGAAACCCTCAAGAGCGAGCCATGTTGATATGATCTCCGATTGACTACATTTGATTTACAGAGCTCAGAAAAGCTGGCTGTGTATTTCTTATCATAATTAATTGCTTCGTAGTTATTAAGTCATTTGTTTGATAATTTGTGATTTATTTTTTTTAGAGTAAGTGTATTGAGGGAGGCTGACGATTTTATGAGGCAAGAAAAATGATGATGTTGGGTTTCTCTAGAATTTTTCGACCCATGTATGTGTTTCCACTTCTGATTCGCAAGTTTTCCTCAAATTTATTCCAAGATTCCAGTGTCATGTACAGTGCTTCATGTGGATCAAGAAGAGTTAGGAAAGTGACAGGGAACACAAAAAGTGTTTTAGTGTTCCGTCCATCCATGGAATATTCAACAGATTTAAAATCCCTCCGTCCAACCAAAGTGAAAATGATAATTGAGAGAAAAATTGACACGCTGGAAACAGTTGACAAGCAACTTGATTTTTTCATGGAGGTTAAATATATGACTGATATTGTGAATCGCATTGCTATACTCTACAACATTGCCAAGATCACAGAAAAAGATGAAGAACAGAAGAAAGTTCTGAAACAAGAAAAAAGCAATGCATACACTGAATTACTGGATAGCATTTTGGAGAAACTATACAGATGCCTTCCTCAGAATCTTGCCATTTTGATGTGGAGTCTGGGAATTAATGGAGAAAAGCATAAAAAGCTGCTCCAACTCTGTGAGAAAAAGATTCTGGCTTGTGGCATGTCAGTTTTTACCTATGAAAACATCTTTCAGATTTTAAATGGATGTGCAAACCTCAAAATGACAAAAAGTCCAATATTTCCAAAGTTTGAACAAGCCATTTTAGATGGTGATGTTAAAATTTGTGATCTTGAGAATCCTCATTTATCTGGGATATTATATTCATTTGCTGAAACCAGTAATGGTTCTGTACAGTTATTTGAGGCTTTTTTGGAAGAATTTCTGTCAAGAGATATAAATTCAATGAACAGTCAACCTATAGCAGAGTTTGTCTGGTCATTTGCAAGGAAGGAACAGGATGCTGATAAACTGTTTGACAAAGTTGAGGCAGAAATAATAAGCCAAGACATGACTGAATTAAACAAAATTGATTTTTTTAAAATTCTATGGGCATTTGGGAAAGCTGAGAAAGGAAGCAAGAAATTTTTCCGATCACTGGATGGTAAACTTGTCTCCCAGGGTGCAGGATGTTTACGCAATGCTGAACTCTTGGATATTGTGTGGACTTTCAGTACAAGACATTTTTTGGAAGGAGCCATATTTGATGTTGTGAAGGAAGAGTTGTTTGACCGAGGTGTTCAAACTCTCCACACACATGAACTTGTATTGATCTTGCTTTCATTCTTTTCAGCTCAGAGATATGATGACAAATTAATCAGTGAAATTGAAGGCGAGTTGTGTGTCAGGAGTGTAAAACAAATTGCCAGTACTCATTTATGTCAGGTTGCGTGGTGTCTGGCAAGAACAGAGAAGTCAGATAGTGAGCTGTTTGACTCAATAGAAGCTGAAGTATCTCGACGCGGCTTAAGTGTGTTTTCTAAGGAGGAAAAACTTTTGCTCTTTCAAGGATTTGTTGAGGCAAACAAAGGAAGCAAAAAGTTTTACCGGCTTTTATGTTCTTCCCTTTTAGCCAATGAATTGTCTGATTTTTATGAAAGAGATATACAGCAATTTGCTTGGTGTCTCTCTCATGTGGATGTTGAAACAAGGGCAATCTTTGACACTCTGGAAAAAGAAATCTTCAATAATGAGAAATATAAGTTTAACGAGAAGCAGCTGATTTCTATAAAGAGGAGCTTTCAAAAAGTTGGAAAGGGAACAAAGGAACTGTTTGAATTTGAATTGTAGGCTTAGTAGAATGCATTTTGTCTTCTTTCTCAACAAAATCATAAGTGAAAGGAGGCCAGGAAGGACAAGGGATGAAGTCTTCCTGCTCTGTATGGACACACCTGTATAATGTTACCTTGCAAGCTAATGAGACAGCTTTACTAAAACACAACAACCAATCAAATTTCAGTGCTTGTTAATAGGTATGAATCAAATCACAGGAGAATGAGAGACAACTTTTGCATTTTTTTATAAACCAGCTCAGTATACTGAATCAATAAAATATTTATTCAGAGTAAAAAAACTTGAACTGAGCAATTGTATTTATTACATAGGATGTACTGGTAATAAAGTGGTAATTGATCTTTGTGTGGTGCAATTTTGGTCTCAAATCATACTAACTTGTGATTTCAAATCATGCATATAATTTCTGATCAAATTGTATTCCACTCAGTTCAATTACCATTATGAACCATCTTAGACTGGCTACTGAAATGTAAACACTGGTTATTGTGTCAGTAAGGTGTACATGTAATTTACCAGTATCCTTGCTACTTAATGTTTAGTGGATTACTGGTATCTCATCTGCCATGATCAAGTTAACCTCAGCTACTCACACAGTGAGTGATTGTGAGTGGTGCAATGTTAATGTGATTACTCACACAGTGAGTGATCATGAGTGGTGCAATGTTAATGTGATTACTCACACAGTGAGTGATCATGAGTGGTGCAATGTTAATGTGATTACTCACACAGTGAGTGATCATTAGTGGTGCAATGTTAATGTACACAAGTAACAATTGTAAGGCAAGTGTGAGCAAAATAACATGATCTGTGTATGGTGAACAGAGAGCCAAAACTAAGCTAGAAAATGGGGTAATTTATTTTCTGCCAGATTCCGTCAAATTGTGATATCTTGTGAAGTTTTGATTTAAGCATTAGTTTTGGATAATGCAGAGAACTCTTGAATTATGAAAAAGAAGAAAAAATACACAAATGATAGTTTTTTAATCAATAGGCAGGTAAGATGGTACATATTTAATTGAGTGTCAACAGTTTTCAATTTTATTTATTACAGTTTTGAGCCAAATTTTTGGCATGAAAATTATTGATACATTGACCTTTTCAACCCCCTATTACTTCAATTTTATCTTTTTTGCTCTTCTCAGGTCAACATATTCACCCTCTTCTTGGTTAAAATATTTATTTGCCTTTTGTCATTGATTTAGACTGTGGTAGAAACATGAGTGTTACTCTACACAAATAGAACTCTTCAAAAATGATGCGTCAATTAAATTTGACACTGATCGCAGATTGATGCATTATGAAAAAACATAATTTAGAAACAAGTTAAGTAGTTTTTATCCTCCTGATACATTTTAAAGGTAACTGAGAGTGGTTGACAATAAAGCTTTACAAAAGCGAAACAAACAAACAAAAAAACCCTGACAATTCTAAGCAGAAGCCTACAAAGAAGATCAGTCTGTCTATCTGTCCATCTATAAGATAGCTACTGTAGTTATGATCACAGTTTTCGAATGCTACAAAAATTATTTTTTTTCTCTCTATTTATGTGGGAACTGGTATTAGCCTAAACTGCCATTCACAAATAAAAACAAACAAAAAAAACAAAAACGAAAACAGTCTAGCAATAAAATAACGACCATCAAGATTTTCCTGAAAGCACCCAGGTCGTGTTTCGACTTTGCGTCAGTTTGACGCGAGATTTATCTTGGCTTAGCCAACTACTTTGCTGAGCTTTAAGTGCAACTATTGATCAGGAAAATAACTTGTGTTTATAATACTTGGCTACTCGCTACTCAGAGGATCTTAGGTTTCTGTCGTACTTCATTTAGTTATGTGTTGCCCTCTTTTCTGTGATTCCATATTACTAACGTTAAACCAATAAACACGACGGCTGCTCCTCCGCAACTAGCCGCTATAATCGCCGTCTCTTTCTTTTTATCCTCATCCTCTTCTATTTTGTCTTCTTCGTTGACTTCTGTTTTAATTAAAATGATACAAAAATTGCAGTTAATGGGCAGTTTGATGAAGGATTTTGACGGCCAATCAGAACAAAGGAAAAGGCTAGAGAGAGCCAGTGGCAACTCATTTCAAATGTTCGTTTTTGTCTCAAACAGGACTAAATTGTGATTAATGTAAGTGTTTCGTCTGATTAGTTGGGTTGGGGGAGATTTCTGGACGCATATGTGACTGCGTGTCAAGGCAAAATTATTGCAACATCGTTAAAGAATCTCAAGGTTATTTTATCGGGCATCAAAAAAGAACGGAGAGGCTGAACAAAGCGGTAAATTCTTCAAACTGTATGAAAACCCAGAAATGGAACACAAGGTTAGCTAGCTATGAAAGAAAGTTGATGAGAAAGATTGGAATATTCTTAAAACGGATAGATTTGGGCAAGAAGAGACGGTTACAAGATTCTTCAAAAGGACGGGGTGGGGAAGTTGGGATGGAGGTCACGTGTCTTAGAAGCCCTAAGCAACGCACTTGAAGCAGCCATGAAAACGCAGATCCCCACCCCCTTAGTTTTTGGTGTGTATCAATATATTGATATGTTTGCGTTGTTTAAGATATTTGAACATTCATCCTTGCAAGCTTGCTTTGTGGTTGGGATGTTTCCTGTGCTACTTTGTTAGAATTAGAATTTATATACTTACTTGCTGTAGAGCTGGGAGGAGTACTCATTATTTTGCTGTTTGGACGACTGACTTCCGTTGATGAAGGTTGGACATGAACGGATGTTATTTGATGTTGAACTGTTGTCATTGAAGCGTTAAGCATCTCAGTCTGATTTGAAACAGCAAATGTTTGTTGAATGGATGGTGTTGGGCTGAAAGACGTGGATTGTGCTATTGAGAAAGAAAAAAGAGGGGTATTTGTGGTCAAAATTAGCCCAGTAAAGGAAAGAAAGTTATCTGAGCTTTGACTTTAAATGCAAACATTTTCGCTAAAGTTACAAAAGATTAGAAGATGAGCCTGTTGGTTTCCCTGATGAGTAGATTTAAATCAGGTTGGCGAATGACTCTCACGTAAACTTGACGTCGCTTGTTCTTATGATTTCGCTACCGTGTAATGAAACCCGCAGGAGCCTCTCATGTGCTGTCTTACAGACCCTGTGCCTGAGTCAGACGTGTGCAGCGCTTTTTGGATTGATTGTCTGATCATGCAGAACGAAGAAAACATCTCAAGGACAACCCAAACAGGTCAGAATAAAAGCATTGAGCCAACTGCCCAAAGTTTGAGAAAACGCGGGTGGCAGTTGTAATTGGTTTTAGTTTTGCCCAGGGTCGCGCGCGATTGTTTTTTTGGACCAGTCAAAGAGATGGGGAAATCAGAACCAGTGTAACTGAATTGGAAATAAGTAACTCTGATGCAACTTTCTAAACAGAGGTTGCTAGTGATTATCTTAAAAATTAATTTGCTTTAACAGACACAGTTAAAGGCAACCTGTGAATGAATCGTAACAATGTTATTTACCTGCTATAAAAGAAACTAAGGCTGTCAGAATGATCGCAACTTGAGAAATTATTATCACTGGTTTCTCCATCCTGTAAGCTGGAAAGAAATCATTAAAAATGCACTTAAAAGATATATGTTTAGTTTCACCAATATCACTCATGCCGCATATAAGATCATATGCAACGATACTAACACGAAAAATTCATCCGAATTTGACAGCCAACCAACGCATGCCAACAACCGAATCAAACAATCAGACTAACTTCGGGTTAAAGCAGATGACTAGCAATCACACAAAAAGGCGCAAGTGAATGTAACCGCAAACAAGATGACAAACTGACCAAAAAAAAACAAACAAGGAAAAAAAACAAACAAATACACGGACAAATGAGCGAATGAAGCAAAAATGCAGACAAATTCATAAAAAGATATAAAATGTAAAAGAAAAGCGAAGAAAAGACCAGGTACTTATCGTCATAAGTGTACTACTTTTGGGCGTTGAAGCAACATGCTCACAAAACAGAGGGATAAAAAAACCTTTCAACGAATATAGCTTCGATTTGTCAAGAGATAACGGTGAAAAAATGCCTTCCTCAATAATGCGATCCGGCTTGGGAAGATCGAAAAGATGTAATTCATGGGATTTTTTTGTTATCAGCTAACAACAATGCAACTATTGATTACTGAGCTCCCTTTAGACGAACGCGCGTGTTTTTTTTTTCGCGTTTTTCTTTCGTGTATGCTGGACTAACATGGAGAATACCAGTTAGTATCTTCATGATGTTCTAAAAGAATAGAAATCATTAGTTTCCTGATTCTGTAGATACAACTGCCTTGACAACCACTTGTTATCTGTTGCCGTGACTTAATCTGCTTAATGAACAGTATCTTCTTCCACCATTCAGAACACATTCACCTGAACGCGTTCTCAATAACTTTTAAAGTTGTTTTGCAGAATGAGAATTATATACCCTCAGTTGATAATCATCTTTTGTGAGCTTGTATTATTGTTATTAACATTTGTAACAATTCTTTTTGAAATTTGCGAAAGAACTCATCATTTTTGCGATTACGTAATTGGCGTTGGATTTCTACAGTATTTACTTTAGTATTTTCGTTTTCACGAGAGCTCAAATTTCATAGAAATTAACTAGATATGTCTCTGATGGTAAGACTTTTACTCAAATTATTCATCAGTCCAAGTCTTACCTTTTTTTTTCGATTTTATATTTGAGAATGAGTCAGCGGAAGTAAGCGAACCAATTCTTTATCGTCAACTTCTTGCCGATATGAAAATCAAACTATACTATAGTTGATTGTTATGAACCTCTGAGGACATGCCTCTGATCAGCTTGTTTTGAACGAGTTTTTCACCCATGCATTTTAAACTTCCGTTCATGAAGCCGAAATCAATCAAACCTAAAATTGTTAGTGACGAGGAGAAACGTTGCATAGTCAACTGGCTTTCGAAAAACATAATATTGAATTGTTGTGATCTATCGTATTATCTTCCACATCGACAAAATGATAGTCTTGAAGTGGGTGCAAAGTTCACTGTGAATATGCACAGCTCGCTGGATTAAGGCGTTATATTTTCACAAGGTTGATAACAGAAAATTGGCTCAGAACACGAACTGTGTACAAAATGTTACATAAAGAAGACAACGTCTGCAAAATTTTGAATAATAGTTGACGTCGAAACTTGCCCAACGAATCTGTAACAGTGCAATTAACCTGGTCTTCGCATGATATTTTTGTCCTGATATGGAGTATTGCTTATCAAAGTTTGAAAAACACTTAAATCAGACTTACCTACTTACGCAAGAACGTCATTGAAAGCTGGAGTACAAACTACTGGAGTTTACTCGTGGAAGCGTAACATTAAATTATTTATTCACAGTGTTAAAACAGCTGGATTTGCATATATGGCGAGTTAAAATGTTATGAATATTAATGTTATTTTTGTAAGACTAGAAAACCTCTCAATCTTGATTGACCTGTACCCCGGAAATTAGAAAAGCTGAATGTTCCTTTGTGCTAAAGGCGGATAGATTTAAGGTAACTGATAAAACGCTGCAAAATTTGTGAGACTGACGTATGTTCCTGGTATTTATTGGGTCATGTGCAATCCCCTTAACGGTAATTCGTAATACGCGTAAATTGGCGGTAATGCTATTAAAATTTATCTCTAACCATGAACGGGGATGGCCCGACAGGATTAAAGCTACAGCCAATTTGAAAGTAGCTCCAGTTACTTCCAACATTGTAAACACGAATACCCTGAAATAAAATTATATTTGCAACCCTTGACTGAGCTCCAACAGAGAAAACAGATCGGAAAAATCGTCTTCTTTTCATTTATAAATGCAACTATCTTTCGAAGTAGAAAGCCGAAACTTTCAATAATTCTTGCCGTTTGCGAACGGAAATAAATGTAGTTAAGTGAAGGGCATGGACAACTTCGTCTGCCTGAAACTCTTAGCTTAAATTGTACAGATTACAAGGAGTCCTTTTTCCCAAGTTCAGTGTGTCAATTTAGTTAGAAATAACCTTTTCCGCACCTGTGCGCGTAAAAGGAAAAAAAAAAACGCTCTGTTCCAGGCCCAGGTCAACTTTGATGTCTACTCCAATTCAGGTCCACTTTAGAATAAGTTTCCCGGTTCAGGAACTTTCAAAAACGAAAAAGAATGTTTTCCTCTTCACTTTCGAAGCCGTATGCAACGCAAGCTGCTATTTATGGCAACAGATTGACTGTGGGGACACCACTGGGGAAAATGACTCTTCATCACCTGGGAACCAGTCCCGGCTTGCATCAGCTGCTGAAAATGTAAATTATAATGGACGCGAAAGAACACCTTTACAAAGTACTTGTTATTGGAGAATATGGAGTTGGTGGGTCTTTTAACGATCCTCTTTACTTTGAATATATCTCCTACTGATCGTTGTTCTCTTTGTCTTTTTTCACCAGGGAAGGTAAGCGAGGATGATGGTCGTTCAGCTCTTGAGGACTTCCGTGTGCCGTGGTTTTTGCCCACTTTCGGTATTGTTCTTGGATGTTGTTGCTTATATTTTGATTGCCTAATCATAATTCCTTTGTTTCCCTCATGGTTTATCACCAAAGACGTCCATTATCCGGAGATACACTGAAGGTTTGTGAAAACGAGGCTATTTGTAATTTACCGGGTTGTTTGTCACGAGAGTCAGTTGATCACGGAGTCAGTTTTCCTAATTCGTGATATCCAGCTACACAATATCAAGTGACTTGAATGTGATATCAGTAATTTTCGTTGATTTATCAATTGAGGGATTAAGAATGTTGCTAATGATTGTTCCTTTTTCAAGTGTGTGTGTTTTTAGCTACAATTCTGCCAACAAACCGGCAACCCTCGAAATAAAAAATTGCTGTTTTATCGATGGTGCATATAAATATGTCGTGTTTGTAGGTTATTCGATCTAATTTTTTGTTTGAAAATAAAATGTTGAAAAAAAGTCACTTTTCGTATTACATTCCATTGGTAATCACATGATTTTTGAAAAATTGGTTCATGATTTATTGATCATTATTAATTCAATAATTATTTCAATTTTAATAATTATCAGGATAAGACTCTTGAGAGATCGAGGTTTTCAACCCCATCAACCTCAAGTTGTTTTTTCTAATTGACAAACTAAGGCAAGAGGTATTTCAACAATACATGATAAACAAATAAGTTACATTTTGCCTTGTATCTGTTCAGTAATAAATCACCCACCAATGACATCAAAATTTATAAGAACAATTAAAGTGGCACACAAGGTGCAGCTGAGTGTGTCACTGATATTTTTATTGCATTTTTATACCTTCCACGAACTACTACTGTAGACTTATGCCAAATGGAATCCATTTGTTTCATCTGCTAAAAAAGCAGAATGCTGAGCTGTTAATGATGACATCATTTTTGTATCTGCCCTCCAATAGATCATCAGTCAGATCCAATCAGAAATAGTATATAATTAAGCTTATCATGTGATACTGGAAAACAGATATATAGATGACAACTTGCTGTTAATCCTTTAACTCCTATGAGTGACCAAGACTGAATTTCTCCTAACAATATCAATACAATATGAAGCAGACAAGTGATGAGAATAAAGGAAAATATAAATTAGGGGATTATTAGTTGATTCAATACCAAATTCTCCAAACTAACATTACAAGAACTGTATAGCAGATAGTAAGGAGAATTACTAATGAGATCTTGGGAGTGAAAGGGTTAACAACATTTTGCTTTTTTACTCTTACTGCATTTTGATGTCTTCTGGTGATCTATTACTGGACAGACACATAGCAAAAATGAATCTATTTGTGAAATCTGTTGTATAATTTGGTGACATCTGTGAGCTCAAATGAGTTTTACTTATATTTGAGCTCACCTCTACTTGATTTTTTATGCCAGGGTCCTTCACACCAAACTACAAGCTTACAATAGGAGTTGATTTTGCTTTGAAAGTTCTCTACTGGGATGAAATGACAAAGATTAATCTTCAGCTTTGGTAAGTAGATGGTATTTATGGAGAAAGCTAGTTATTAGTAACTTTTGCTTTCTGGAATCACAGTTGTCTTTGACTGAGAAGAGAAATATCCAGCAGAAAGAAATAAAGTTAAATTTCAGGAGATTTTTAACTACCCTTTGACTGGAACAAGAAATTATCATGTAATTTCAGTTTAGCTACTTTCTATTGTCTAGCCAAGGTTCACTTGAAAAATTAAGTTCTCTGAATGTTTTAGCTTTGACAAGGTCTCAAACAGGTCTTTTGATAGTCAAAATAAAGAAACTTTGAGAATAAGCTTTGTGGACTCGCTTGCAGATTCTTTGGTGTAATTTATTTATGTTATCATGTTTTCAGGGATGTTGCTGGCCATGAGAGATTTGGTCACATGACAAGGGTGTATTATAAATATGCGTAAGACTTGTTTTGATTGTCTATATCTTGAATTTAAGTTGACTTTATGTTTATGGCAGGGCTTCATGCTGTCTCAAATTTTTCCTCAAATTTTTTTTTTTTTTTACCTCTCATTGGATCACAATTACATCCTTTTGTGTTATACAATACATCCTTTTTTCCTACAAAGAATGCTGACAAGTGGGACCCCAGTAGCCCTGTATTGTGTAGTTGCTCCAATAACTATATGAAATATTTAGAGATATTAATGGAATACTCGATATGAATTTATCAGCCATGCGCAATTACAACCCAAGTGTTCTCTTTGCAGAATTGCTGCCATAATTGTATTTGACTTGACAAGGTAAACTGTTGCTTTTATCTACAAATAAATTTATCTCAGTTTTGAAATGTTAAACAAAGCCTGGTTTCATTGAAATAGTTTAATTAATTCTCATTCTAAACACTTTTAAAAAGTAAAGTATTGAAATATTTCAAGTTTTTCATTTTGTTTCAACAGACCACCAACATTTGATGCAGTTCTTAAGGTACATGTATGTTTTTGTTTGAATTATCACATTGGGTATATCAGTAAATTTATGAATTTATTTATAATTCAATATTGGAGTGATGTCTGTTCTTTTAACCATTAATTTTAAAACATCACAGTTATTTTGATATTTTAATGTTAACTATTTTGTGTGCTTTTTTTTCTTTCATTTCAGTGGCACTGGGATGTAAACCAAAAAGTTATGCTGACTAATGAAAAACCAATTCCAGTTCTCTTACTAGCAAATAAAGTAAGGCACATGCTGTGCAAGTAATAAAGAAACCACCTTTAAATAGTGGTGATTTAGGAATTTTTGTATAAATCACATTGTTGTATTAATTCAAAGGCAGATTGTTCAAATTTATTGCTGATGATAACTCTTAAGTAGATCAAGTTAAGCCATATTATTTAATTCTGCATGTAGTTTTTTCACTGTGCACAATGAAGTATGTTCATTTTGTTAGTATGATTTTCTCTTTAATCTTATCAAAAACATCTTATATTGAATAGTATCAATAGGTGTTATTGGTGATGGAAGTAAACTTCAAATTACCTTTCCAAGAATGATGTCAAAAGTTCTGGTTTTGGCCCCTGTTATTCATTTGATTTAATTTGTTTAACTCTTTAACTCCCATGATTGATCAAGACTGAATTTCTCCTTGCTTTATCTATACAATATCATGCAGACACATGATGAGAATAAAGAAAAATGTTTCAAAGATGAGAGTATTTAGATTACATCTTTAATTAAAAGTGGAGAGGAATAGCAAGAATAATGGTTTTCTTTTAAATTTATTGCAGTGTGACTTGAAAGAACATCCTTATGATGAGGAAAGATTGAATCAATTTTGTCAAGAACATGGATTCATTGGCTGGTAAGGATTATAATTTGCCGGTATATACATGATGTAATTGTAGCAAATATTATACTTGAAAATATCCTGTATGTAGTAAATCTTGTGAATTATTATAATTGGAAGATTGGAGATCAAATAAATTTTGGGCCACCAGCTAAATTTCTGAGATAATTTCTATTCAGAGGTGGTGTACTTCCTTGTCAGTTTTGATTCATAATTCTATTGTTGCTAAATTTCAAAACAAAAACACTGTAGTTCGTCTTAGTAAAGATTAACAAAGGGGAATAATTTATTTGATATCCAACTGACTAGTAAGTTTAGCAGGTAATTTAGTGTTAACAACTGGGTTGAAAACGTAAATTAGCCACCATAAAGGGTAAAAAAGCTGACGTTTCGAGCGTTAGCCCTTCGTCAGAGCGATTAGGATTAACGATTAACGAGCGATTAACTTTACATTTCATTTCCCAGAAAGAAAGATACATATAACAGTACTGTATTAATTAGTAAACTAAAAATAGTTAGCAGTGTTCAGGATTTATAATTTTGCATGATTCTTAAATGAGATAGTTTATTGTGACATCAATTCTTTACACAAATTTTTCCTTTGAATCTTGGCCATAAGGTTTCCAACATCAGCAAAAGAGGACCAAAATATTGGTTAGTGTTTATTTTAGTTTAGTATTGCTAATTGTATAAAGTATTATTTAAAAACATAATAAACAAGTTTGCCAAATTTTCAGTAGATGATAGTCTCTCCTGTACTAAGTGGGGTAATTGAGATTTGGAGAATGCATTTTCATTTAAGTGCTTTAAGGGGCAAAAGTTGCCCCATTCTGTTTGAGTTGAGTATCCTTTCAGAAATGAGTACTATTTGATTGTCCCTTATTCTGACATTAAGAAGCATAATTTTGCATTAGAAGGGCAGGAATTGCCTGCATTGGCACAAGGAAGTGTCTACCACTCTATTTTTGCCAAAGGTCCACAAAAATATAGGGTAATTGACATTTCCTTCCTTCTGTCATTTAACGACAGGCACCAGACTTAAAAGTTGAAGTAAAATGTAAAATGTTGTTAATGAAATTTCATTTCAGATGAAGCAATGCAGGTACTGGTGCAAGCCATTTTAAGTGTGTCTGGTGAAAGCAAAACACCTAATTTGAATGATTGTGTAGCCTTGCGAGGAACAGTGTTACAATCTTCAACTCTGATGTCTTATGACTCACGTTATATGGTGGACTTTTCACAAAAATATCAAACTGATGAATCTTATAGTCAAGCTGTCCCTCCCTCCAAGGAAAGAAAGTGTTGTCCTGGCTAGCAACTTGACTACTAAAATTATAGCTTTAGCTTGTAACTGTACATGCTTGATATGAAAAGGGGGTAAGTTTCTAAAGAAACTGTGGTGCTGCATCTGTGGGAGAGTATATAAGGGTAACTTAGTATTATCAACTGAGTTGATACCATAAATTGGCCACATTAAAAAGTTTAAAAAGCTGATGTTTTGAGTGTTAACCCTTTGACAGAGCAATGGACAAAGGGCTAACTCATGAAACGTTAGCTTTTCAACTCTTTGCAGTGGCCAATTTATGTTATCAACTCAGAGGATAACACAAAATTACCATGCTTAATGTAGCCTCCTTCGCCTGCAGCAATTCTTTTGGGTCATGGTTTTGGCAATGTTTTGACATTGCGTGACATTCCAAAAACAGCTGCAAATGTGAACTAATTTATCCTTTGATTAACACGAGCCACCAAGAGAGAATTTCTCCTTCCAAATCAATGCAATATCAAGCAGACAAGTGATGAGAATAAAGAAAAATATCAATTAGGAGACTTAACTTTATCCAATGTTAACTTCTCAGAACTAACATTAGCTTTATATTTAGCTTTTTAACCCTTTACAGTGGCCAATTTACATTTTCAACTCAGTTGTTAACACTAAATTACCTGTTATACTCTCCCACTGATGCAGCACCACAGTTTCTTTAGAAACTTACCCCCTTTAAGAATTGTAAGGCAGACAGTAACAAGAATTACTGGGTCAAGATTGTGACAATTACCAGTCCCATCATGGGGAGTCCAAACAACATCTGCTGAGGAGACTGCATACATATTATGCTCAGAAATATTGTATGTGCTCACTGTAATTTTATCAATAATTAGATTGTAAAATATTTTTTTTTAGTTTTCATATAGCTTTTTGTGTGTCTCAGGGAACTTAAAATTTTTATTATGTATAGTCAGAGAAAAGCATTTTTTTTTTCAATAATTTGTGGAAAAAAAATATTGTTTTAAAATAATTTTTTGAATTTTGGAGACACAAAATTTATATTAATATATAAAAATTATAGGCTTGGTCAGCAACATAAATATTTGTGACGAGATCAGTGAATATTTCTCAACAAATAAATAAATGTTTTGACAAGCAAAGAGTAAAAGGTCACTTTTATTCATTATCTGTCCAATAACATGGCTCAAGTGAGTGTTCGTTTCACTTTCAACAAAAGGCTGTCTTGAGTTTAACAGGCTAAGCACATGATTGCACCATAAGCTTCCATGCGCAAGCAAATCCAACCAGGTGAAATCTCTTGATTCAATTATAAAATATCATATCTATTCTGTATTAATCAAGACTTAAGTCTGTAGCTGAGAGTCCAGCTCACTGAATGTTCAAGTATTATTTAGGAGGGTCAGGAGCACCAAGGATACCCTCATTTTGCATCACTTGAACTTCTTGTATTCTGACTCCGATTCTTTGCATAACTTTCAAAAACTTCTCACTACAATGTATGGCACAATTATTCTGGGAGACAAAAATGAAAAAGAAAAAAAGATATAAGAAATTTACATTGACTGTTCAGTCTTATATCTCAGCCCACTTGTGCACCTTCTCACCCCATGGATGGGAAGCCCTCCCTAATTTGGCCTACTTGAGTATGTATAGCCAGCCTTTCTCCTACAAAGGGGGCTGCTGAAAAGACATATATTTCCTTAGAAGTGCTCATCCAATGAGTAGCTTCAGAAGCTTTTTGTTAAATGTCCAAGAATTTACCACAAAGGTAGAAGGTGATCTTTTTTTACCTCATTTGTTGAAATCTTTCTGTTGGTGAAGTCATGAATGCAATCTGTGAAGCACAACTCTGTCAATTTGTTGTAGTATTGCAAAAAGTTCTGAAACTGCAAAAAAAAGACATCACATTCAGAGAGAAGCAATCATAAAATGTACAACATTAATGTACCACGACATAGTTTAACAAACAACCACAACAACGACACAACAAATCGCGTTTAGCAGATACTATATAGGAGGTTAAAAATTATCACAAATCAGAAGGAATGGCTTCATCTAAATAAATACGCCTTTCTTAGTTCACAATTTCTGAATTTACCCTTAAACTAAGACGAGAATTACTTCCAGACACATTCGTATTGAAATAAAGTTGAAAAGATATCCGATTTTTTTCGACTACTTTGGTAAATAATTTCTAAGTAAGTAAGTAAAGACTTTATTTAAAGAGAGTAGTACTAAAATAGTATAAAAATACTAACAAACCAGTGGCCCTCTTGAGAAAGAGAAAAGAAAAGAAAAGTTTGAAGCAATATGTATATCATTACCAGTAAGCCCAGAGAAATCGAAATAATTTCAGGGCAAAAGACCAGTAAACCAAAGTTAGCCATATTCTGAAGAATCATAAAATCAACGAGTCGAATAAAAAGTTATTTTGGTTTATACCTGTTTTACTTCCATCGCCTGTTGTTGACCTGGAGTTGGGCCGGACTGCATTGTGGTCAACTTTCGATCTATATGGCTAGTTTGGTTTTTAAGTATTCGCAAAAGATCCCAAATACTTTGGTTCGCACACTATTTTTATCAGCGGCTGGCAAACAGGCTCGAAAATACTAAATCTCAGTGTGCCTTTACCTAATGGAGGTCCGCCATATTGATTAAAGCTTTAAAGGGTTGATGGGATATGTCATACTCAGTTCCTCCCTGTCATCCCAAGGATTGAGTTAGTGGTCGGTCTGTTAGAGGGTCTCAGGGAGAGGAGAGCGTGGGTGTAGAATACTACTTTAAATGGCTTATAAATTTTATTTGTTTTCAAGAGTTTTGGGTTGATATTGAATTTAAGAACCACAGAGTCAAACTGGTTACATGCTATCATTGCTGTGAAGCAGACATCACTGTTTGTCTTGTCCAGAGGACAGAGTGATAGTCATTGTTACATTGTTTAAACAGTCCCAATAATCGAACTCCACCATGCCCCACCAAGATGTAAATCATCCGTGCCCACTTCTTGCAAGTAATACCCTTTCATTCATAACTACAACAGAGGAAATAGAAACGGACATTTCTTCCTGGTGATTGCCTCAGAAACAAGTGCTTGAATTAGACTAATTCCACAGCAGAACTCTCTGATTAAAAAATTAACTCAATGTTCATTAAATCCTTTTCAAGTTATGTTTTATTTATAGTTACTCTACTTAATAATGCAATCTTTGTGATAAATTATCTATTGATATAAAAGGTGAAGGAAATATTTCCTCACCCTAGGCAGATAATTTTAAATATTTTTTCTTCACATTTTGAGTGAACTTGTTGAACAAGGTTAACCCTTTAACTCCTAAGATTTCATTAGTAATTCTCCTTACTATCTGCCATACAGTTCTTGTGATGTTAGTTTTCAGAATTTGGTTTTGGATCAACTTATAATCCCTTGACTGATATTTTTCTTTATTCTCATCGCTTATCTGGTTGATATTATATTGATATTGTAAGAAGAAATTCTGTCTTGGTCACTCATGGGAGTTAAAGGGTTGACACTTAACTGCTTTTCCTTCTTTCATACTGTCACTGTTACATTATCTGATCATCCCCTAACTACAGTGTAAGTTAATATTTATATGTTGTATATAATTACATAATAAAACTGATCAAAATCATTTTTGTAGAGCACAATTTTTGATTGATGACAAAAACAATTCTTCAGTCATCTCTAAGCTGAGTTAAACAGAAAGGTCCTTCATGCATCATCAACTATTCTTCATTTGAAACCTTTGATAGTCAGGACAAATTAAAAAAAATTGAAATTTTATGCTTTGAGTGTCAAAATCAACAGCATTAATGGATAAGGTCTTTTGCAACCTTCTGCAATAATTTTTAAGTTGAGTCTAACAGACAAGTCTCTCATGTACTGCTTTGCTTTAGAAACCAGTGAAAATCAGGCATTATGTGTAAGGTCTTCTTAGGCTTTTCTTTCAAGACAAGTCATGCTACTTTCTCAAGGAATAATTAAATTGATTAGCAAATTTGTCCTCACATCTTTTTGTTGCAATAGCATCCATTTGATCTGCCACACGTCGCATAGCTTTCTTATTCAACACAATCTTTCCTAAACGATTTCTTACTGTATTCTTTTGCTTTTTAATATCAGTCAGACCAGACTCCTTTTTGCCATTTGCTTTCGAGTGACTTTTACGTTTTCGTTTCTTTTTGCCTCCCAAGTCCAAGCCAGTAGCTGCTTCGACCTCAAGTTGAATCTCTTTCCAGTCCACTGCAGGCGAACCTTTATCTTCTTCAGCATTAACACTGGTGCTTTTTCTTTCTGAAGTTTCAAAGGCGGCATCAGATGTGGTGTTGTCATGAATCACAGGGCTACCAGTTTCATCCCGTGGTATAATTTTGCCATGAAGAGGACATTTCACTCTATCGTGTCTGGGACAAAGTTTACCACTTGGTAAAGGTGCACGGCAAGACCACTTGACAGGTTCAAAGCTACCTGCAAATGTGACCATTCGTGTTGGTCTGGCCTCTTTCTCATCACCAACAAGATATTCACCTTCATGCTCCTTAGATGCCCAGTTGTTATCAAGATACATTTTGACAACCTTGTGCGACTCAGCGGTTGGGTCTTCCCAGAAATAGAGATCCATGTCAAATGGCACAACTGGTGCTTTTTCAAGTAACCTCTGTTTCCTTTCATCTACTGGTTCCTTAGAACTTTTATCAGGAACTGACAAAGAATCAGTGTTTGATAGTTTGTCCCTCACTTTAAACAAAGCAGTAGCACGAGAAGTGGGATCACCCAGTTCCCGAAGATTAGCACCAAACTTCTTCAGTAAGCTAGCTTTATTCTTTTGAGATATTTTGGAACTTGATTCTGTAGAAAAAGAAGAGATAATTACACTCAGCAACCCATGTGTTTTAGCCAAACCTCCAGTAGAGCCCTTAAAGAAAAGAACAGTGGTTTAATTCCACAGAGCTGTTGAAAAAAAAGCTATCCTGGGGCATTGTTATCACAAGAACAGACATCATCACAATCAATAAATTTTTTGGTTTCTTTACAAAACATATCTAATGTCAATTATTTACCAGTGAATGTCTTGTGAGTGCTAGTTGGTGGTTTTGAACCCTTTCCAGCTGTTTGGCCCGGAGAAACCAGAAATTCAATGTCCTCCCTTTCTGGAACATCTTCAAAATCTTCAATGTCATCTTCTTCATCACTGCTACTCTCTGTTGAAGCACTTTGACTATTTTTGGTGTCAGGAAGAGGTGTTATTTTCAACTCAAGGAATTTAGTTTTTGCATTATCTAAAGTCTCCTTAAGATCAATAAGTTCTTGAATTTTCTGTTGTGTTCCTTCACCTTTGTTCAACACAGAAATCCACTTGTTGATCATGGGTAAGTGTTTATGAGTCAATTCTTTGTAAAACTCCCGAGCTGTGTTTAACACAATGCTGTTGTCAGATGTTTCTCTTATTTCTGGTCCAGTCTTGTCTAATCTGATGGTCAGCTGATATGACCTTGTTCCCAGTCCATGATCAGTCACCAGCTCCTCATCAGTATCCACTTTAGGATCATTTTCCTGACTTTTGTCAGTGATTTTGTCTTCTTCCATACTGTCTGGTGTTTGGTTTCCAATTAAATTCTTGGTGACCTCTGTACCATCCTGACTTTTGTTAACATCTGTATCAGCAATCTGTTCAAGCTCAGATAAGGCAGATTCCCTGGTGCAGTGAACCTCATATTCATCTGGGTGAGGTAACAAAAGCTTAAAACAATTCTCTATTTCAGTAGCACACAATTCCATTTCGCTGATCATCTCCGACATCTCATTTTCAACACGAATAATCTGTCCATTAATGATATTCCTTTTCCGTCTTTCCCTATCCTCTACTTGGCGACTTTCAGCTTGACTTCGAGCTAAGTGATCACTTAACTCAACGTTTTTAACCCTTTTTAAATAGCTGTAACCTAAATCTAGTTTCTTGTAATGAGATCCAAATTTCCGATGCCAGCTATCTATGGCCTCCAAGGCTTTCTCCTTCAAAATTTTTGCGGCAGATGCAGGTGGTGGCAAAAGTTGCTTGTAGTCTGTTTCTAATGTAAGTTCCAAGAAGATCTGGAAATCAATCAGCAACATTTCTCTGAAAGCATGGGAACGAAAAAAGAGCTCATTGATGATCTGAAATGATGAAAGTCGTATTTCTGCGTGGTTCTTCTTCAGCTGTGTCAGAATCAAGTGGTAAGCGTGTTTGACGTAAACATCAGATTTCTTACATATGTTCTTTAGCTTCTTCAGGAGATCACTGTTCAACGATGGACTACCAGAAGTGGTAAGAGTTCCAATAATTTCGCCCAGTTCTTCTAGAAGAGAAAGTTCGGCTGTGACCTCCATGTTCGATTGAGGTAAGATTGTTTACAAATTGCTGACGACGCAACTATAACCTTAGCAGCCGCTCCTTATTTTTACTAGACCGCTGTGCTAGGAATTTTTTAGCGCTGGCACTAGATCTTTGCAAATTTAAAAATGGCGGGGATTTGAAGTCTACTCATTCGGTGTGAAAGGAGGTATTTTACAACATTTCGGGAGGTGATCACCTTGGGAAAATACCTATTTCTCATGAATGATTTAATTTATAATTTGGAGGATGGAAGAGAGGAAGGAAAATTTTATTGATGTCTCACTTTAGCTGTGAACTATTGACAAGTCTGAGGAGTATGCAACGGAAAGACGAGTTTGTTTATGATTTTCTGTAAAATGGAGCATTCGAGACAGATACTCTCACTGACAGGCGCTGCTGTAAATGCGTTGTCGAGCGTTCAAGACTTCCACAAGGACAAAAAAGCTAAAACAATAGGAGGATTGCCACAGGGGACTTACACACCTCCACGCAAACGACATGTACAAGATGCAACTCAACCTGTTTCAGCCATGAATCCGCCTGTTACTAGGGCTAATTCCGCAACGAATGACAGAGCTGTTGACTCTGTTAGTGGGGAGTTACAAGACCAGTCTTCATCTTCACTTCTTGATCTGACTTTCAATGGAACTCAGAGAGTGAGAGTGCCTTCAAAATTACTCCGTGAAATTAAGTCTCCAATGGAAAGGAGTTCTTCGTCGGGCAATTCCAGACAAACCTTACAGGAAATGGACATAGGTATGGTTGTGTATTGGACATAAATGTGTGGGTAGTGCCACTTTGGATTTAAGAACTGAGCAACATTTCAGATGATGTAGCAAATTGTCAGCAGTAAATTAATGCTTGAGTGGATTCCACAACATATGATCCTGTTGAAGGTATTCCAGGGTTTTGTCATCCACCAAACGTTAGGTGCACTAGAATCCCCAATTTTAATTCTGAGTTCAAGACCTTACCAGGTCAGTGTATTGTGTTCTTGGATGATACTCTAATATCTCCCACAATACTTCTCTTCGCTTAGGAGTGCAAAGGGGTACAAGGGAATTGTTAGGGGGGTAGCTTACAATGGACTGGCACCCCACCCAAGAGGAAAAGCAATGCTGTAAGTGGCTTTGTGCTGTTGAAACTGGGATACACTCTGACACCCCTTGGGCCACTTGTCATGAGTGAGTGTCCCCCTCACCTGTTTTAGATATTACTTTAGATGGTGCAGGTCAAACTTGTATATAAAGAATACTTTTCATTTCTTCTGGCTTAGACAATTTGAAAGTGGAGTTGTTGCCAAGGTCTTAATTATATGGTGCTCTCTTATTTACATTCAGTTGATGAGCATGTTGTTACAAGACCATCTCCTGTAAAAGTTGTCAGACATGTAAATGGTCCATCAGCCTGGGTTGAGTTAAACTCAGCTGATCATCCTTCCAGTCACATTCCTTCAGATCCTGTCATTAGAGAACATTCTGTAAATAGTAATGTGAATGGAGTGGATTCTTGTCGAACTAAAGATGGAACTCTGATCACAGAACAAGCACCTCAAGTCACAGTGCGACATCTTGAGGATGAAGCTCATGCAGAGAAAGCATATGAAGGAAGAAAGGTAATAACTTTGAGGTACAATCAAAATTACCTTTGAAAATTATGTGACCAGGGTTCTGTGTCTGCTAGTGGTACATTTTGATGAAGCTTGCTTTTAAAACGTTATGGCAATCACAATAGCAGCATATTGGTCTCTTAAAGTGACCTCACAACAATGGCATAGGCCACATCATCATACTGGCATGACAAAAACTTGCCAAGACTGCACGCAAAGGTACCTTGGTTTAAAGCAAGGTGCATTACAGTTTGTTCAAGCAAAATAACCCTTTTCAGATCAATTTTGCCTGCAAATATAAAATAAAAAAGAAAATAACCTGCTGCTATACTAAAAAGCAGGCATTGTACCAACTAATGTACTCATAACAGTGTTCTCCCTTATTTTAAGTATGACAGGTAACACAAATTTTCAAACTGGTAAAGCAATCCTTTTAATTGTTGAATTTTCAAGAATTCCAAGCAATTTTAAATGGTAATAAGAGGTATTACAGGTGGTAAATGTTACCGGTTACTGCCTGAAAAGGAGAACACTGCATAACAGCTTACTTGTTGTGCTTTCATAACACTTTATCCTGAACACTGATTATTGATATTTATCATTTGAATTGAAGAGCATTCCCACCAAAGGCTTGTACCAAGGACAGCCAAAGAGTGGAGTCCCAATTTTCAACCCTGCAAAAGAAAATGCAAGTGAGTTTGGAAATATAAAGATTGTAGGTATCATATATTTCCTTTCAAGAGCCATTTAACAATACACTTTTACTGTTGTTGTTCTTCCTTTAATTTATTCATATTTACTCGTACAATTTTGGTTTGGAATTTTCCTTCCAGGTGATGTCAAGATCAAACGATTTGTTTTGAATGACAAAGAAAAGTCTTTAAAAGAACAGTTCTTGAAGAGGTTTGAACAGATGTTTCCCAACCTAAGTTTTTTTGAAGAGTTTTTTATTGATGCAATGGCTGGTCTGTGAACTTTATGTATAGATTGCAATGGGGATGTACTGTATTATTTTAAATTTAAACAGTCATTTACTGCATGACAAATTAAACAGTGGTTGATTTGTGAATAAAATACTTTAAAGAAAGCTATTCTTTGGGGAGGACATTGAATACAACCCAACAGATCTCCAAAGTTTTTTTGCGCCTGCCCAAAGTGGTGCCTATTATGCTGGACCCTGTCAATCTTAACTAGACAATGAGACCAAAATATTGCATTTAGTGGATGCTGGTTAAAACATATCACCTAATTTATCACCCTGATGAAAAGTCAAATTTGTAAGGAATAGACATGCTGTCTTTTGCTGTCTTGAAGTTGGAAGAAGGGCATTTCAGTAACTTATTTTTAAATTCACCTCTTATTTTATCCTGTGTGTACTTGCACTTCAATAGAAAAGATGAAAGAAGGCCAGTAAAGAAACTGGTTCAACCTACTGTGGTGTCCCAGGCTGGAGAGACAAGTAACCCACAAGGTGCAGTGAGTAGTGAAAATCCTGTAGCTACTGCAGCCGCAATTGCTGCTGCTGCTGCATCAGCAGCAACTGGACCTTTCCTACAGGTGATTAGTTACGGTTTGTATTTAATAAATGTCTCATTATTGATTTGTAGAACTAAATTAGAAGATTTACTTTGGCACAGCAGTATCATTTAGCATTTTATCTCTCTGTTCTTAGTTGCAGCATACCTTGGAAGCTCAGATTTCTGCTCTTGTAAACAACTTACAAGTTCTACAACAGAATCACAACAGACAACAGGAGCTACAGGACAAGGAAAAGGAACAGAAACTACAACAACAGCTTGAAGAACGACTGAAGAGGCTTGAAGATCTGCAAGCCAAGATGTTGGAGACTCAAGTATGTAAAGTTTAGAATTGAGGTTTTCTGCTATTGTGTACAATGATGTGTAAGTTTACAGAGTTCCAGAACGGTTGGATTTTGAACAGAGACACAATTCTGAGCTTTCAGCAAGGCTTGCCCAGTATGTGTAACTAAAAAGGGATAGGGTAAGTTAAAAGTGCAAAGGAGGTGAAAGAAGACAAATAGACTACCTCTATAAGCACTATTCTCCTATCAGTTTTTTTCCCACTTCTCCATGCCTGCTTAAGTTTAAGAGCAAAGGAGCCAGTAGTAGCATACAGTGTAGATGATATATCTTACAGTAATGGGATGAGCTTCTTGGCTGACTTGCAATCACAATCACTTGCTTGATACAATTTTGGAACTTTCTGTGGAACATTGCAACCAGGTGGAACTTTCTCCGGAGAAATCTTGTGATTATTATTACCAGAAAACTGCAAGCCAATGAATCTATTCTTTATCCATTCAGTCAGCACCAGCCTCCTATCCAACTGGCATGCAACAAGCAACAGCAGCAGTGCTACCATCCAGTAGTATGGACAGTGGGATGCTACCTGTGAGTTGTACGGCCACTGTGGCTGCTCACCATCCAGCTCATGTTGCATCTTCTTACTGCGGTGTATCTGGGATAGCAAGGCAGGATGAATTTACCCAACCACCACACTCTGTAGCTGGTCACTATCATTATCACCCTCACACTACCGCTGAACCTTCAAATCAGCCCAGAGGGCATTCCTCGACTCCAGCCTTTGGTAAGATTTCATTTTGTGTGATGATGTTTGCTTCTCTGTTTTAAAAAAGTTTTAAAAACTTTTCAGGGGCCAAGAATACCCAGGACATTTTCTTTGTTAAATAAAAGACAAAGGTTTTGCTTAAAGAACTTGAAGAATCACTAACCCTTCTAGCAGCTCTTTGCCCTGACTGGAGGTCCCTGCCCTTTTACTTCTGCTCTCCTAATTAG